TTACAGCTCCTAACATGTTCATTGGTTACTGCGTCGCATTTTGCCGCGCGGTAAGCTTTTCCGCGTCCAGTGTGCTAGGAGTTTATTACGTTTTTTGTGACGAAGTGAAAATTACAAAAATGATCAAATTCACTAGATGTTAACCAATGAAGTTATAAATATTCTAGTAAATTCAATCTTTTGTAATTTTCACTTTGTCAGGCCGGAATCAGACTATGCATTGAAGATTGAGGTTGAAGATTGAAGATTGAAATTTGACCAATAAGGACAAAGAAATTTTAGCTCCTTTCATTTCGATTGGTCAAATTTGAATTTTTCAATCTTCAATCTCAATCTTCAATGCATAGTCTGATTCTGGCCTCACAAGGAACCGTAATAAGCCAGGAGCCATTAAGCCATGATTTCGTATTCGATTGTAATTGATCAATTTCTTAAGGCCGATATCAGACTATGCATTGAAAATTGAAAAATTGAAATTTGTGACCAATCAAGATAAAAGGAGCTAAAATTTCTTTATCCTCATAGATCAAATTTCAATCTTTAATTACGAACCGTCACAATTCCGAACGTAGTCCAAATTTTCATATAAAATAAGAAAATCATAAAAAAACACACGCGTCTCGCATTGAGAAATTTAGCCTAAAACATTTTACATCGATGCAACTTTGTTAATCATTAATATGATTTAAAAAATGCATCCATTGGTGAGTAATACATTATAACATTTTTATATATTATATTAATTTTTACAATTAAATTTAGTGCTAAAAAGGCCAATGAGAACAACATCGTAGTTATTATGTAGCGTATGACATTTTAATAATGTTTTTAATTTATACAGTTTCAATCATTCTTCATACACACACATATATATATATATATAGTATATTGAATCTACATTTCGAACGTTTCGGCTTATTTTAATTTTCAACAATAAATTGAGAAAAGACGATGATATGATAAGCTCTCAGTAAATGTAGTGAATTTTACACTTCTAGGTTTAGAATGTCTATCTTAGGCTGCGGTCCACTTGACGCTACAAACTCTTCGAAGCGTTTTAGCAACCAATCAGAACAAAGAATTTTACGAATTGATTAATCAAAGAATGCTTTAAAACGTTTGTAGCATCAAGTGGACCGCAGCCTTAATCGTTGTGTAGCGGATATAAGATCTACCACTTTTGCTTCTCCACCTCTTTCTCTATGGATTAAATTCAAAAACTTTATCATGTTGACAGCGTAACTGTTAGACTTGTATCTTTGTCAAGATTTATAATACAAATACAAATGCAATTACAATAAAAATAATTTGTATTGTAAATCTTGATAAGACACAACAGATACTCTGCTAACATGATAAAGTTGTTACATATGATAAAGTTTTTGATCCATGAGAAAGATATGGAGAAGCATACTTTGCGCAAAAGTGATAGATCCTATATGCCACACAATGATTGATATAGACACTCTCAACCTAGAAGTTCAGAATTCACTATGTTTACTAAGAATGTATATCATCGCTTTTCTCAACCAATGAATCGTTGATGATGACTTAAAGTAAGCTAAAACGTTTAAAATATAAATTTGATCTTAACATATACAGGGTGTCTGGTAATGACTGCAAAATATTTCGTCCGTGGGTAGAACAGACTACACTGAGTCGAAAAGTCCTGTACCATTTTGCGGTGTCAGCAATAGTTCGGCAGCAGTAGGCCGACCGGATGCTCTTATTCGATTATCTTTAAACGTTAATATCTCCTTAACTATTACTGACACCGCAAAATGGTACAGGACTTTTCGACTCAGTGTAGTCTGTTCTACCCACGCACAAAATATTTTGCGATCGTTGCCAGACACCCTGTATATGATGAACGTATCAAAACTGTATAAATTAAACATTAAAATATACCATACGCTACAATAACTGCTGTATCACTCACATTGGTCTTTTTAAGTAATAATTTGATTTTAAATATTAAGAGATTCAAATTATTCTTTAATTTTATTTACATTAATTTTTATATTTCCTTATAAAGTTCTTTCCAATTAAGTAGAAAAACATTATAATATTAAAAAAAGTTTTTTGTTACAAAGCCATGCATCTAGAGAAAAAATTAATTTATAATTTTATAAGACTGTACTTTTTATGTATTTATTTTGTACGTTTAATTTATACATTACTTTATATAATGTATTAGGTAATTTAATTTATACGCGTACGTGCGTGCACGCATGTAAAACTCTGCTTAGAAATACAGATTTTGTGAGGAAGCTGTACGTTATTTTGTTTGTAAAAAAGTTGTTAAAAGAGATTTGTATGAAATTTTTATTGATCATTTGACAAATTGTCGCGAAAAATCATCGCAACTAGATAAAATATAAATAATTATTGAGAAAATATTTTGTCATATTTATAACATTCACAGTGATTTAAATATTTATTTCGTTATAAAAAATCTTTGCGTAAAAAATACTCTTCATACAATATGTTTTTACACAGATATCTACTTTAAATGAAGAAAAAAAGGAGAAGATAATTAAATGGGAGGAAGTACAACAGAGATCTAAGTTTCCAAGAGAATATAAAGCTGAGAAACGCGCTCAAATGTGGAAAAAGTATTTAATGCATGAAATCGAGCTTAGTACTTTAAATACAAAACGTTACCGGACATTATGGCGAGAGATGATGACGAAGATTAAAATGCCGCAGATCGCTGAAGACGTGAAGATTGCGTGGCACAATTTCGATCGAGCTCTCGATATTAAAGACTACAGGTTATCTATTATGATAAATGTGTGTTACGATAAATTGGCCAATTGACAAAGTTTGTTTAGTGCATTCAGAGAGTTTCATCTTCATCGAATAGGATTTGAATAACAATTAAAGAATTTAAACAGATTTTCCTTTAGTATAGATTATTTTATAGTATGTCTATTTTTCCTATTCTAAAATAGTTATTCAAATTTTATATAATTTATTTGTACTATTTTTGGAAGCAAAAATAGTTGAATAACATTAATAGATTAATCCTAACTAATATGATAGCCTTAAAAAAATAAAATTTTAATGTTAATATCATTTCTTGACGAGAATTTGGATATTTTTCAATAGAATAAATTTATATATCTTTTAAAAATATTTTTACGACTATTCAATCTTTTCTAGAATAAGTTTTCTAATGGATGAATTGGCCGAAGCCGAAGAACAATATCAAAGAACTACAAAATCATATACTGAAATTATAGATCGATTTTTGAAATTGTATAGAGAAAGAATACAGAGCAAAGAAAGAAGTTATCAAAGGACTTTAAATGAAATACTTGTTCAGACGAACATAGGAGTTGGCAAAATTTATTATCAGCAAAACGAAGTCTTGTTACAATCAATCACTCACGGCATTCACAAACAATTAGAAGAATTATCGAACAATGTTAAGAGCATCGCCTTAAGTATATCGTTATTAACCTTGTATAATTTTATCAAAATTTCGCTTGCTTCCAATTCTATATTATAGTATATACAGGACGTCTCATTTTGAATAACGACCTAACATATGCGCACGACTTTTCACGTTCCCTTAGCAGGGAGGGGAGATGGGTGGGAGTCGTTTCGCGTGGAAAGTCGTTCTTAAAGCAGAAAATTTATTTTAAAGCTGAAAATTTTGGTTTATTATGTAGCAGAAATGAAACGTATATTATTTCTTAACCTTTTTTTGTTTATAACTTTTTAACGAGTAACGTCCGACGATTAAAACTTCCTCAAGATCATGACCTTAACAATCACATATGTCAAGGTCATTGGGAGCTCTCCTAATCTACTAATATTTATCAATAATAGGTAATTTGTTTAATGAAGGTGGACAAAAACAAAAATTATAGCATTTTAATGTTTTTGAAATAAAATATTCAGGATGTATCAAAAGTCTGGAAACGGTTGAATATCTCGAAAGTGAAGCATTTTTGAGAAAAATGTTTCAAACAAAAGTTGTAAGGTTTAAAAAGATCTATTCACTGATCATATCCGCTTGACCTTGGGTGGAGTCGGCAATGTCAGGTCAAGGTCAAATTGATTTTTTCAAATGGAACACCCTATTTTTGATACCAGAATTTAATAGCTGGTATCAAGAGCTTTTCAAAACACTATAATAAAGTTATTTTTCATGAAGTATTTTTCGAGTTATAAGGCTTGATAGTTACATGTAACTTGTTTGAAACGCTCTTGACATGCTGTAACGTTTGAAAAGTTCTTGACACCAGCTATTAAATTCTGGCAACAAAAATAGGATGTTCCATTTAAAAAAATCAATTTGACTTTGATCTGATATTGGCGACGCCACCCAAGATCAAGCGGATGTGATCAGTGAATAGATCTTTTTAAACCCTACAACTTTTGTTTGAAATATTTTTCTCAAAAATGCTTTACTTTCGAGATATTCAACCGTTTCCAAACTTTTGATACACCCTGAATAATATAAATGACGTAATTTTTTAATACAATTAATTTATTTTTGGTTGATATTAAAATTGTATCTTGGAAGGTAAGATTGATGCATTCGTGGAAGACAGTAAGGATATACGCAGAATTTCTGTGACACAACTTGAAAATCAGTTACAAAAATCCTGGGAAAATCTTCGACGAATTCTGTCGGATTATCAAAATAGTAAGGGAACGTTTATTATTCATATGCCTTTTATGACCATTTATGATTATTTCATGTGCCTTTCACACTATTTACAGACTATTAGAGGGGATTTTAAAGCGATCTCATCATTTCGTTTTATATCTATATAAATTGTCTTTATTTACAAATGCATGTAACAAAAATTAATGTGATTATTCGCTCATAACGTTACGATTCAGTATGATTCAGTATGATTGCAGAGACTATTCACAGAAGCTTTCAAGAGATACTGGAGTGACGACCGAACTTGATCGATAGTACAAATTTTTAAAATTCCAAATAAAAAAAGTCGATAATAATGACATCTTTAATTTATTTCTTATATTGTTCTGTCTTACTTAATGCGTACATTATGGACGTATCGTGGAATTTTTTTCGGGGGGTAGAGTTCTATCAATTCCCTATAGGGATGTACCAGAGATGCGCCATACTGGAAAACCACTGGAGAACCAAAAAAGGAGGAATTTTGCTATTATACTGGAAAGAACATTACTGCATCATTTAATGAATTCCATTTGGATATTTTTACAGTTTTTAACGTCTTCTCGTACCTCATTTTAAAGAGGAAAAATGTTACATTTTGTACATTATATAAGCTTTACTTATTTTTTTAAAGACATTTTTTTTAAGGACGATACAGTTACTACAAGTAAAATGTTTAATTCTTTAATATTGCAGTTACTGTATGCTCGAACTAATAGAAGCATTAAAAATCACTTACGTGGTCTTCTAATGAAAAGAAAAAAATATTTTATTATATGTATATATAACTGCAAAAAACTCATACAAAGTTAAAAGTAAAGTTATGTTTTTTACAATTAGAAATGAAAGAGAAAAATTCGACAGAAATAGTCTAAACGGTATATGTGGATTTTTGCACGTTTCGTAGTGAAAATAAATAGTGTACAAAAATCAGCTGGTAACAAATCATTCTTTTTTCGCTAAAAAATTTATAATAGCAGCTTAATATAGTGCCCCCTCTCCTCCCCCCCTCCCATTCGGCATACGGAAATAGTATAGCACCTACTTTTCGATCGGTTTTTTAATGTAAAATATTGCTACAAATAAACGTTAGGTGATAACATAGGAAAAAAGCAAAATTTTTTATGACTTCAATCATGTGTCATCAATTGTAAAACCGTAGATCTGCTATACTTTGCGTTTCCTTCACATTTGTAATTTCCTACCTATGTAAATGACGAATTAGTGGCTGCGTTCAGCAAAGAAAGCAGCTTTGCAACTGTTGTAAAATTTTTCAATATGATTGGTTCTTGCTCTTAGTTCCTTATGGATGTAAATGTATAAATTAATGGCTGCGTTCAGCAAAGAAAATTAATCAGTTATCGCTTAGTGATTCTTTAATATGATTGGTTCTTGCCGTTAGTTCTTCGCAAAATCTAAGTGTAGGAACCAATCGTATTAAAGAATCACTAAGCGCTAACTGATTAGTTTTCTTTGCTGAACGCAGCCAATCATATTGAAAAATTTTACAACAGTTGCAAAGCTGCTTTCTCTGCTGAACGCAGCCAATAACCGTTTTCAAGCGGTAATAAATAAAGACCAAAAAAGTGTCACCTCCCAGACTATAATATACACATATAAAAAACGCAATGAGATAACATTTTTAAGTAGGGATGTACCGGATCATAAAATTGCCGGATATCGAATATCCGAAAAGAATGATATTCGGTCGGATATTTGGTAGGACAATTGTCCGGTCAGATATTGGATATTTTTCGGATATACGGTACAATGTATAATTTCTCCATTCTATCTTTTCTAAAAAAAGGGAAAAAAAAGGAATGAAAGGGAAAAATAGCGATATTTTCTTTATCTCCCCAACGTGAAAACTTGAAAAAAAAAAGAAGAAAGATAAATAAGCAAGAATTTCAGCTAAAAAGAATAGAATTCTGCATCAATGACGCGAACTTTCAATATGAAATTTCAGCCGAACATATATTACCAGATACTAGTGATATCCGACTATCCAGCCAGATAGTAAAAAAGGGCCGGATACCGAATATTTCCCGGATATCCGATATATCCTTACTTTTTAGGAAGATCGTAATTACAATGCACAATTTTGGAAATCACACATTCCTACCTATATGGTCACGACCATGATGTAAGGATATCACATGTTCCATTGCGCATAATGGCGATAGCAATACTAGAAACAACCAATCACATTTTTGCCTCAATGCCCTTTCCTGCGTATAATAACGCTTGGCATATTGGAATAGCCAATCAAATTTTTGCCTCAATTCACGCTGCTACTGCGCAACCACGGGAATGGAACACCTGGTATCTTTACATCATGGTCACAATTACTTAGGAGCTTTAATACATTTTCTTTATATAATGTTCTCCAATGTTGTATGTGTGTGCGTTTATATTTAATACTAAATATTTTTAATTAAAATATTAAATAAAATTAATTATAAAATAAATTATATACATTTTATTGATACTATTTTGTTGGGAAACAAATTTAAATAAAATTTAGTTCTCCATTAAAAAATATAATTTTAATAAAATAAATGAATTTTTATAACTTTCTTTTGAAATGGAGTTCAAACTGCAAATATACAACTGCACATCTATCAAATGCAAATTAGGCAAGTTAATATTGATTAATATTACATCGTTCTAGAAACAAAGAATCGCAGAAAATCTTACGAGATGCTTAAAGATACGGACGACAAAGACCAGCAAATAATAACACAACAGTTATTACATACAGAGAGTCTTTTCGAGGATATACGAAAGTTTCAAGATAAAATAACGACATATGATTCCATGGCAAAGAAAAAAATTTCCAACATTCTGATGGAACATGACTTCTTCCAGAAAGCTTCCTGGGTTGTAAAAAATCGTCTTCTCTCAGGTTGCGCGTATTGCCTTTTTGTTAAACCTTGTTTGATTTTAATTGTATATTTGTAAAATTTATATCGTAATTTTAGCTGCACGAAAGAAATTGTTATATAACAATAATATTACCGTTACATCTTATTTTATTTTCTATTCGGACTATTAAATCGAAATATTATCATAATTACCGATATAGTTTTTGACAATAATAATCAATAAATACAGTTTTTGACAATTTCATATTGAGATATGTAAAATAATTTTAGAACAGACGAAAGATAAGAATCAATTGAAGATATCGTCAATCAAATATAACAAGATAATAAAACATTTAGAATTTCTTGTAATTAAAGGCAAACGACTGCTCACGCTGATGCAAATCTGTCGTAAATATGAAACACAAAACGAGAAAATAATTCCGTTTGTTAATCATACGGAAAACTCACAGATGCTCTCGTCGTATCAAATCATTGCTTTATCAGACTGGAATGTATCCCGTCAGGTATACACGAATATATGTAATAGAGTTCTTGAATTTTTAAAAGAGTCTTTTTTTCATAAGGAATTTATAACAGATTATAGATTTTCAAGATATGACAATTTTTTGGCGGCAATTTGGTGTTGTGCAAATGACTATTATGCAATTGCGATCGGAGAGGGATAAATTAAAGGCTGAGGCGAGACACTTGCGCGAACGTATCAGTTTTTACATTATGCAGAAAGAGTAAGTGAAAAGATTAAAAAAAGGTATAAATAATTTAATAACTATTGCCTCTAACAAATGAATTATGCTACAATTTGTTTTAATATAGGTACTAATTCGTAACCTATTTTACATTATGTTGGATAATCAACAATCATGCTGGTACTTTTTATTATATTAAAAATTTTACATGACTAGAAAGAAACATTATTTGTTCTAGATACAAACGCAAAATTTTAGCATTTTTTAGTTTACTTGTCGGTATTATACACGATGAAGTTTCATTACTAGTTTGTATAAAATGTAGCACTATACCAAAAATAATTTAACGCTAGTATCAAATTTTATAGTTCAAACTTAGATATGGAATTATAATTTCAGTTTATCAATACTATTTCTAATTATTAACGTTGATATAAAATATAAACGTTGTTTAATTATTTAATCCAGATCATTGTAAAGTGAACCATGTAATAAACAAAATAAACAATATATACGTTACATAATTTATATACATTTGATAAATGAAAAAACAGTGCAATACAATGATTCTGTCATGTTAACGAGTTAACCATTCTGAATTTATCAATGATAGTCTTGTATTTATTATGCACTTTAAACTGCAACTGCGACAGAGTTTTCACACAATACAGTATAAATTAACGTAATGATTTGTGCCTGTGTGCTATTTGAGATAGCATCTTATTACCAGTGAGGAATGTAACAATACCAAAACCAAGAAGATATTGCAGCGTGACGAACATATTAAGCTTTAACCAGAAAATACCGAAGAGCACGAAAATGCCTAAAAATAAAACAATTATAGTTATTCATACTGCATTGTGGTGCACAATGCAGTGGTAGATATAAATAATTTCTGTAGCGAATTGATTACAAATGTGACAAAAAATATAATCACATTCGAGAAAAACATCACGGCATACTGTGCGCCCAATGAAAACAGATAGACTATACAACATCATCTGCCAAGCAATATATCGGGCATATTTTTTATTATATCGTTACTATTTGTAAATTAAATTTATTAGCTAATAAAAGGAATTTAAGTTAAGTGACGCAAGAGTGGATGAGTGCGTAGCTTGTGCGAAGATTATAATAGGAGTATTTAGAGAAATTAGAGAGATAGGGATTCGTGAGAATAGAATGAAGCAAAAACGAGAAATTGAAAGCACTCTATCAATGAAATGATATTTACCTCCTAATCCAAGATGGAATGTAATCGCGCTGAGAGACACGGGGAAGTTCGAGATATTGACACCGAGTCTAGCCCATAAAATTAACAACAGTAAAACTGGTGCCAAGCATAATCCTGTGAATAGATTTGATACAAATGCCGGAGGTCTACGTTCAGGCTCGCGGAACATATGCTGAAATTTGAAAGTAACAAGAATTCAGGAAACACTTTGATAACAGCTTCAATTTCTCAAACAAATGTCGATCTGTTCGTCAAAGAAAATAAAAAAACTATTGCACAAATGCTACTTTTGCGAATGTTATACTAACTTTGACATAATTCTTTGCCAATGTTTTGGAAGTGACAAAATTATAAATGATTTTATGCCACTAACGAGCATTGGCATATCTCAGGTATATATATGTATAAATCAAGGGAAAAATACCTTTATTTCTGGCTTGGTTGTATACACGTTTGGTTTTTGCTTATAAGAGATGTTCTTATCAGCCCCTTCCGTTGAAATCGGCTCGGGAAATTTCAGAGTTACTGTGCCAATATTGAACTGGAACGGATTGCTGATCACAGCATCACCAATAATTAATTCCATGTTATATTCTCCACTTTGGTGACCGAAATTTACAGCTGCTGTTCCGACCGGCTAAAAATATTCGCAAAATTATAGTGTCGGAAGAATATACTTTCTGTTACACAAAAATCTAATTTATGCTGAAATATATATGTAAACTAAAGATATATGTATACTATCAGATCCAGTAAACGAGAATATATTAAAATATGACTGAAATTTTATCTATCCGAATGAATATTTTGAACAAAAACTTTCTTTATTCAATTGGATTTAATTGGATTCAATCGAATTAAAAATTGCATTTCCTATTCAGAATTTTGAATTGAGAAGTATTCACGAGACACAAAAAAGTTGATATTATTTTTAGATTGAGGCATAAAAATGTGCTTCATCCAAATCGTATAAATGAATAAAAATGGATTCGGATTGAAAAGAATTCATTTTAACGTTCGCAAATGCGTATTTCTGAAAATCTGAATCCATTTCAATCCATTTTACTGGGAAAGACACGATCGTGTCTCAAGTGTTAAGTATATACATTTCGTGCCATATGTTACCTAGATTATATGTATCGTGTAAATTAGCATGGCACTGTTTCGTGCCATGACGCTGCGCTTGTCTTAGCGCCGAGACACTATCGTGTCTCCAGATATTATAATGGCCATGTCTCTTTATATTAGAAATTTTCAAGTAATTCTGGTTACTCGAAACAAATATATGGCAATATGTGACTCTGTATTGCAGAGTATAATAAACTTTACGTGGTCCACCCTATATCTTTTGCAATATCATGATTAAAATAAAATGAATAAAATATTTATTTGCATCGTTATAAAATCACTATCAGTTATGCTTCAATAATTTATGAAATTAATTCCAAATTGGATCAAATGTGAATAATATTGCATCACAAAATATTAATTAGATCATATTTTTTATTATAATATTTGTCATCTCGTTTCAATATTTATAACGTAACCTTTTATAACGCTAAAAATGAGCGTCAAAAAATGAACGTCAGCATGAAAAGGCACCTTAAAGCGCGTGGGCGTGAAAAACGAATACACCCCGAGCACATCCAGATTCTTATAAGGACGTCTATAATGGGAGTAATATTGTATAGTAAACTGTAAGCTGTAAGAAACTAATCATAGTCGATCATTTTTCTCACATTCGACTGATTGATCGATTTCTTGCAGCTTACGACTTACCGAGTGTGGTTCACTTACTTGGTGCTACAAATACTTCGAAACATTTGATTGACCAATCGAAAGAATTTTGCTAATTAAAAAGAATTTTACCAATAAAAAAAATTGCTTCTTAGCACTTGTAGCATCGAGTAAATTTTATATATATATATATATATAAAAGTTACTACACTATATTACTCCTATTGCAGACGGTCCTATACTTAAGTCAGTTGAGTCTCTCATGCGTGGTCTACAATGGGCAGTAGCAGTAGTGGATTAAGAAGTTGGCGTAGAAATCAACCAATCATAATCGAATGTGAGGAGAATAATCAACCATGATTGATCGATTTCTACGCCTATTTCTTAATCCACTACTGCTACTGTCCATTGTAGACCACGCATAATATGTATTTAATTTAAGAAGTAATGTACAGGGTGTTTCCAAATTAAATCGCAAAACTTCGGGAGCGTGTAGAGGAGTAAAAAACTAAGAAAAAAAGTCCTATAGACATATGCTCGTTTTTGCTCCGTTTCAGAGAAATCGAAA